TATTTTAACATAATATTAATATAATATTTACTGATATGTAATATACATACTGCTATTATGGTTTAGCTGGTAGACAATTACAAAGCTGTTTAATAACAAAAATTACCTAGTCAAGTAGGTCAGCAAGAAGAATGTTAGTCAAATAGTTTTCCTTCAATATAGTCTTCCTGTACTGTGGCAAATAGCATTTTGGCCATACTTTGGAATTCAATGTAAACACCATAGTAAATGAATAAGGTTATCATTCAGTACTATGATAATATATCAAAGTTTGATGGTATTACTATCACTGTACACCACAGTGTTGTTGTAATGGTATACAAGAAACAGTTGCTTTTAAAACTAGCTTCCACTGTGAAATCGCTTATTCAATACGATAAATAGTGCACGGTAAAGCACACTTTAAATGTTCACTGAGATGTCGACAGTACATTTTCAATTACTGATATCACAAGCTTGTACATGAGCCTATTTATATCTAGCAGGGGTGGTCGCTGTAATGACACACTATTATTAATTCCCCTGTCTGAAAGAGAGCTGGATCTGAGCAGGCACTGAATACATCCTAATAACACAGCAAAATGTACCAAATGTATTTGCATTTACATGCAGTTAAGGAGCAGCATTGTCAGCATCTTTTAAATGAAATTTCAGTTTCAAATGATTCAGCCAGGACAAACGAGAGTGAATGTGTTGTTATAATTAAATGAGAGCCCCATTTGTTGAATGCCGACCAAACCCGAAACCCTTCCTCCCAAAATTTCAAACCTCTACAAGCTGCTCAGTCTAAAATTTATCCCCAAAATCCTCTATCAAAAGGGGCTAATTAAACATTTATTCCACAGCCTTCGGTGAACAATGGCTCATTGTTTTGTTCTCTCCACCAGGACCGTTAGAGAACACCTGGGTGAACAGGAAGTGTCCATTACTCTGACCATAGATTCACTGGAGGAGGTAGATCTGGGTAATTATTCCTGTTATGCGGAAAATGGCAACGGGAGAAGACAAGCCAATGTACAGATTGGGAAACGAGGTAACACATTCAGCCGTAACACACATGAACTCAACCGACTGAGTCATGCCAGCTGCTTCTCATTTAAAGGAACAGTTCACACAAAAATGAAAATTCTGTCATTTGTTTGTATGACTTTCTTTCATGAAAAACAACAAGATGTTTTGAAGAATGTTAAGGCTGCTCTTTTTCAGACAATGAAAGTGGACAGTAACCAGGTGCTGTCAAATAAAAAATCACCATAAAAAATAAATGAGTGCAATCAAATGAGTTCATATATCATAGTAGTTTATAAGACATACAGTGTCTCTGTATGAAAAGCAGATGGAAATATAAGTCATTCACTGACAATCTTTCTTTCCAGTGTACACTACTGCTAAAAAGTTTGGGGTCGGTACAATTTTTTTATATTTTTTCATAAGACCCTTATGCTCAGAAAGGCATTTATTTGATTAAAAATACAGTAATATGGTTTCTTATTATTATCACTGTAAAAAATCATTTGTGATGCTTAATATTTTAACAGCTACTGTATATACTTTTGCTGTAAGAAAAAGAGCAGCTCGGACGTTCTTCAAAGCTGCTCCATTTTTTGTCCCAGAAAAAAAAAAGTAAGTCATGCAGGTTTGGAACAACATGACGGGGGAGTAAATGGTGACAGAATTTTCATATTTTGGGTAATCTATAACCCTTTAATGTGCTGTGGGGATTCTTTACATATACAACACAGCATGTTCCTATGTCTCCCTCCTCTTCTCTGTTTCTTTCTTTCTCTCCTTTCGGGAAATGCATCAGCATCTAAAATTGATGCTGATGCTGAGCTGCTTTGAAGGCATCCTATCTTCTCTTTTAATGGCAGTTCAGAGGAGGAGACAGCTTCCGCAGTTCAGACACATTCTCTGCCTCTCAGCCCAACTCAAACCTCATTCAACTGTTCTCACACACACACAAATGAATAAACACACTCTCTCTCTCTCTCTCTCTCTCTCTCTTTCAACTCGTCTTAGCCATACACGCATATTTCTGCAGATAATCTCAAAGCCACACACTCACAAACACACACACAAACCAAATCTCTCATATGCACCCTCTCTCTCTCCGTCAGCTCATTGCTGAGCACACAAACACACATGCTTTCACAATCTTTCAGCTTCTCTGAAGCATCTGAGTGTATCTTGCGTGTTTTCCTCCATTAGCTGTAGTGCAGAGGAGCTTTGAACAATATGAACATCATTAGCACTTAATCATTCTGAAGTCATTTTGCATTTCTCACCGCTTGTGTATGTCCTTAGCGCAGCATGAATTTCCAGGCTGGTTTGGTGCTGATCTGGCTGGTAGATTTGCTGGTGAAGCTAATTGACAAAGGAAGTCTTGCCGGTTTAGCTAGATGTCAGCACACCTAGCATCCTATGTTATCCAAAAGACCATGTAACTAAAATTTCTTGAGTCTTAAATTAAAATCTGATAAGAATTTAATCTTCCAGCTAAAATTGCCATGGTTACAAACTAATGAAATAGTATTCTGGGCTTAGAATGTTTCTGTAGTAGAATGCAGCTGTTAGGTGCTGGAAGTAAAAATTCCATTTGTTTTCTCCATGAGGGAATTGATTTTGAATGATAACTTATAAACCTTTAAAGACATACCTACTATAGACTTCAAGGTTGTTTATTAAAAGTATAATTCAACTTATTTTTTTCAATAATCATGTTAAATAGTGTAATTCCTAGTACATTACCCATGATTCTGAAGCGAAATCTCCACCAATAAGAGAGTCTCGACAAGCAAATTGTGCCAAAAGAACTCCCATTCCCATGAAGCACTGTAATATTTCTCTTTTTTCTTTTTTTTATTTCTCGTTTTTAATTTGATTTAATGTAATTTGCAATGCTTCATGGGATTATAGTTCTTCCCTCACAAGAGTACACGAGTATGTATGCTATGCTATGTTATTGCAGCAATATTATATTTGTAATATGTTTTCTCTCTCTTTTCATTTTGTCTCATGTGGTTTTTTCTCTCTCAGTGGAGCTGATGTACACCGTGGAGTTGGCTGGTGGACTGGGTGCAATTCTTCTGCTATTGGCCTTGTTATTGTCTGTGTATAAGTGCTACAAGATCGAGCTGCTTCTTTGCTACAGGCATCATTTTGGAGGGGAGGATGCAGATGGAGGTAAAGGCCACACACACTCCCCCTACAGGAGCTACTGAGCACAACATTGCAGCAATTACTTATTTGTTTCTGATTGTTACATTATATGTAATTATTAGATTTGCAACTCTTTTTTTTCATCACAAGTATTTTAATATTTCTAAAATATATTGTTAAACGATTTCTTTCTTTCTTTTTTCTTTCTTTCTTTCTTTCTTTCTTTCTTTTCTCCTCAGAAAATAAAGAGTACGATGCATACCTGTCCTACAGTAAGGTTGAGCTGGATCAGTGGGGTCAGGAATTACAGGAAGAGGAGCGCTTTGCTCTGGAGATTCTCCCCGACGTGCTGGAGAAACATTATGGATACAAACTCTTTATCCCTGACCGAGATCTCATTCCTGCCAGCAGTATGTGCAGAATGTGTGTTTTGTGTGAATGTATGTCTTTGTTAGTGTGTTTGTAAATGTTGTCTTAAATGTTTAAAACATTTTCATTTGCACATGACATTCACAGAAATGTCATGAATAGTCAGAGAAATTAATTATTGTGGAGTTTTAGGAGTGTATTCAGAAACCCACAACAATCACAAAAGAAAGTTGCACAGATAGAGATTTGACAAATAGCACTAATTGTACAGAACTAATGAAAACTCCTCGATCATTCATAATGAAGTGTGACATTTTCAGCTCATAAACATGATAGCAGCACTGGATTGATCTTGCTTCCTAATACTGCAAAGTAATTTAATAATTTGTAATTAAATCTAATTAAACTCACTCATCAGCATTAATATGACCAGAACGCCTTATGTTGACTAGAAAACAGCTTGGTGAAAAAAAGAAAACTTTTGATAAAAACTTTCTGTAGAACAAAAAATTATAGTTTTAACAATAATATTCCAAAATGTGGGCAAGTACAATAATAATACTTTTTTTTTCATTGCAAGCCATCAGAGCCAATTTGTGGCTTTGTGACACTGTGTTTGTTTGCATCATATGTCAGGTGTTTTTGCCCTGTAAGTGTGCTGTGTCTGAAAGCTGAATGTTTATGTCCAGGTATGAGCAGTCAACATTACCAGGATGACACACATCTTCTTAGAGGTACAGCTTTGTTTGAATGCAAAAACACGCGTGCACACATGTACTGTGCGCATAATACGCATACATTGTGCATGCAGATTGTTCTTCATGAATGACTGTGGTTGTTCTGTCTTAAATGTGTGTTTGTCTTCAACTGTGCATTATTTTCAGTCCTCATACGACCTGTTATTTTGGTATTACAGTTTCTTTCTTTGTCTGTGGTGTTTATTTCCTGTAGCGTACATAGAGGACGTGTCCCGCTGCATAGACATGAGTAAACGCCTGATCATCGTGCTGACCCCGAGCTACGTGCTTCGTCGCGGGTGGAGTATATTTGAGCTGGAATCCCGTCTGCGCAACTCTCTGGTTTCAGGGGACATTAAAGTGATCTTAATCGAGTGTGCCGATCTGCGAGGAGTCATTAACTACCAGGAGGTGGAGGAGTTAAAACTATCCATTAAATGCCTGAGCGTGGTGCACTGGAACGGCCCGCAGAGCAACAAGCCCGGCTCGCGCTTCTGGAAGCAGCTCCGCTACACCATGCCATACCGCCGCCCCCAGCAAACCCTCACCAATCACGCACTGGATGCCAGCGAACCCGGCCCCTTCGCCGACCTGCAGACCGTCTCGGCCATCTCCATGGCCACGGCCACGTCCGCCGCCTTGGCGCCGGCTCACCCCGAGCTGCGCCCGTCTCTGCGGAGCTCGTACCGCTCGCACTCGCTGGCACGGCAGAAACACTCACACTACCGCAGCTATGACTATGAGCTGCCCTTCACAGCTGGAGGCACGCTGCCGCCACAGCACACCTACTGCAACCTGCCCCTCACCCTCCTGAACGGCCAGCGGCCCGTCAACAACAAGACCCTGCGCCAACACAGCCTGGACGAGCACCACGGCAACAACGCCATGCTTCCACTGCTGCCCAGAGAGACGAGCATCTCCAGCGTCATCTGGTAAACACAGAGAATCCGAAACGCACCCAGTTTGGGCCGCCTGGCACACGGTGGACTAAATAAGCTGGTATACAGCACAGGACACAATGAGATTAGTGGTTTCCTGTGATCAAAATGATTGTTCTGTCCACACTAAGTGGGTCTGAGGATGTAAGTCTTTTGGGCATTGATCCGGCGGTGAGGGACGAAATAGTGCCGTACCTGTAGGCGTGAACTGAGCATATAAAGTCACACCACATGGAGGTATACAGGGTCTCGTGTAGATGTTAGCATTATATTTGTAGCACCGCTGTCTTCCTGTCTCCATGTTCGGTTTGATCACACCATCTATTTTTACTCGTTAACGCTTGATGCTTTTGTTTTGTCCCTTCCTCTTTTTTTAGGTTTGAAATGGACATTTGATTGAGATTTTTAGTCTTTTGAAATGGACTGAAATACTCCTCATTGGATTTTAGCTACTGTCGTTTTGCTCGGAAGCTACTGCGTTTTGTTCCGTCCCTCTTTCTGTTGTCTGATGTAAGGTATGTATTTATGGTTTTAATTGCAAAATTTTCAAGAAGGAAATATATTACAAATTATGCAAAATATACAAAAGCCTAAAGGGGTCGACAGAGGTGATCAGTGAGCAGTGCTGTCTTCTTTTACAAGAGGAACAACACCATTTCTCAAATATTAAGGGGATTTTAAATGATGAGAAATCTATTTTTATATATGAAGAGTGCTGATTCTCTAACACCACAGGGTCAATGGGACAATGGGACTGAAGACTCTCTTCTTTGTGAATTTGGGTATTTTATACAGTTTGCTACATTGTTCTCATCTGTGGAGAAAAGGAAATGTTTTATGTTAACTTCTGAAACAATAATCAACTGCATTTTTGTTTGTATTTTTTTTTTTTATGCTCATAGTCTAGGACTTTTGATCCACAGACAGACCTTTTCACTTTCTTTCACATTTCTAATCTGTTTACCTCTCAGTCTGATGTCTTAACCCACTGGTTACATGCTTGTCTTTTTCTCCTCTAGCTGCTGTGTGACTCAGATACATGCTGGCATGTTTCACAGAGAAACACAGGCCTGTATACTCGCATTCTAGCATAGAGTGTCAAATAACTCAGCTTGAAAACATATCATATGATTTAATAAATGCCCACAGTCAACATGTATTTGTTGTATCTTGTGTAGAGGTTTTCCTGATCTAGGGGTTTTCACTTATGGCAGCATGTACTGACTCTAAGGGGGAAAAACGCAAAGCTAGAATCAGAACCAAGAGGTTTGACAGTAAAAAAAGGTCTAACTGTATAAAACAAAAGAAACAAAAAAAATCAGAAACTATTCTTGTAATTCCTTTACTCCTATTTTTCTTTGTTCTTTTTTTAAATTCAGTTGCAAAAAAGTTGTTTATAAAATAATTAGAATTATGTATGAATGTTTACCTCTTGAGTATGCATAGAGACTAGTTGTGTATCCTGATTTGAATATTTACTGTATTATGAACAACAGCTATCACAGAGAGATGTGTGATCTCTCTAGAGGCACAATCATTTTTCTTTTTATATTGTTTCTCACTGTGTACAGTAAAGTCGCAAACCACTATAAGCTGGTCGGTGAAATTTTGTGTGTGTGTGTGTGTGTGTGTGGTTGGAGAGGTGTGTCAGGCCTGATGTGAATTTTTCTCACAGTGGATTGTCTGTATAAGACACTTATATTTGAGAAACAAACAGAAAGTTTTAGGTTCTAGGTGAGCTGCTTAAATTGAATATTTCAATTATGCTTTACAACAAAATGCTAAATACTGGATTCTACAGCTGAATAAGCAAAAATAATTTCATATCATATGCATATGAATGCACCTCTTTAAATAAAAGAGAAAAACAACATGTAATATATGCACTTATTTCTGTATTGCAACAGACTGTGACATCTAAAAAGATTTTATTTTATGCTTTATAATTCTTTGGATTTATTATAGAATGGAAATGAGTCTGACAGTTACAATGAATAAATAAATTTTTACCATAAACAGACTATAAGTAATTATTGAACATAAATAGACATATTGCCATAAGTAATAACAATACTTAAAATAGTAAAGTGACATCAAAGTAACTTAAGGATAATTACTGCCAATGCAACACTTTACAGTAAAGTTTAATTCATTAACATTAGTTAATGTATTGGGTATCATGAACTACCAATGAACAGTACTTTTACAGCATTTATTATCTAGGTTAAAGGAATAGTTCACCTGAAAATGAAAATTTACTAAAAATATCCTCACCCTCAGGCCACCCAAGATGGAGATGAGTTTGTTTCTTCATCAGAACAGATTTAGAGAAATTTAACATTCACCAGTGGATCCTCTGCGGTGAATGGGTGCCTTTTACAAAAGCATTACAATAATTCAGATGACTACAGTCCATCAATTAACATCTTGTGAAACAAAAAGCTGCTGCATTTATAAGAAACAAATACATCAAGGTGTTTTAACTTTAAACCATCACTTCCAGCCAAAATATGAGTCCATAATCCATAATAACTCTTCCTCGAGTGAAAAGTCCATCCCCTGTTGTCCTCTCACATCAAAATCCACCGATGTATTTGTTTAGAACTTTTTTCACTTGTAAACAGTGCTTGATCTGTGCATATTTCCTGATTCAGACGAGACAACCTTTTCAATGGAGAAAGCAATATTATAGATAGAGGACTTGTATTTTAGCTGGAAGCAACGGTTTTAAGTTAAAAACAGCTTTTCACTTCTGTAAACATTAATTGATTGACTGGAGTCGTGTGGATTACATTTGGGTCATTGTGATGTTTTTATCAGCTGTTTGGACTCTCATTCTGACGGCACCCATTCACTGCAGAGGATCCTTTTGTGAACAAGTTATGTAATGCTAAATTTCTCCAAATCTGTGCTGATAAAGAAACAAACTCATCTTCATCTTAGATGGCCTGAGGGTGAGTACATTTTCAGCAACTATTGTTCAGTGTTAATTCATATTGCTTCAGACTATATTAAATTATGTTAATTTATACATACATATTACTTTATATATAAACTTAAAATAGTAAAAATGTATTAGTATATATAGAAATTAACATTAGTTGTTAGTTTCAGATATACAGTATATTGATTAACTAATGATAATAAATTGATCCTTATTGGAAAGTTTTTCCAGGATTTATATAATTTTGTTGTTCACAGGAATTTTCTAACATAAACTGGGTTTTACAGTAAAAAAAAATTCCCCCTTGGCTTCTTGTGGATGTAGTCAGTGTTGCTCTGAAAGTTACTGTCGATTATAGTGCAGAGATATTTAAAGCTGATGACCTGCTTCACATCCTGTGCTGCCAGCTCGAGCGTAACTTTCTAATCATGGCACCTTCGTCTTGGTGATATTAATGTGTAGGGAGCTGTTATCAAACCAGAAGACACGGTTGTCAACATACTGGAAATAGACTGTTTACATCCTCCTAGCAAGCCACCAAAGCTGTATCATCAGCGTACTTGAAAGGAGCAGGTCACTGTTGTTACACTGCACTTGACTGCTATATATTAACATGATATAACAGGAGAGATGCAGCAGCACACATCCCTGAGGAGCGCCAGTCAGATGAGGTGCTGTTCATACGGACTTGCTGAAGAAGCGCTTTTGATGCAAAGGACCAACCTGCTGTTCACATTTACATCATGTAGGTACTTTGGGGTTGGACTGTATTAAATGCAGAAGAGTTAGTTTTGTTCAAATGCTGTTGGACGTTATCCAGCATAGGTTAGCCTGATAAGCAAAATGCAAGGTGTCCATAAATTCACCTTTTTCAGATTAAAATTCTTTCCATATACTGAAGAGGCCCCATGCATTAAAGGAGAACTGATGTAAAATCAATGGGTCAAATGGCATTAAAAGATGTTGCACATGGAGTTTTGGGTACAGGGTTGTAAGATGTCCTTCCAGGCCAGGGTTAAATGTTTCGAAAACATTCGAGTAAACACAGATCCCTGCTGTGCAACACTCCTTTAAACCCTTCCCCTTCAGCACATCGAGATAACCTTCAAACCTAAGCTTTTAAAACTACTCAGACCTCAGGCAAGGTCTGTCAAAACAATATAAAAAATTTGTTTAGGTGGACTTAACTTTTTCTAGTTTGATAGCTTGAATGCACATCAGAAATGTCAGCACACAAGAAAAATAAGAACAAGAGGTATTACAGTCACATTATTAACAATATTAACTACCAGATTTCTATCATAAAACCCTAGTTTTCTGTCTCTAAATCCTTCAGTAAATACAAGGATAAAACAAATGCTAAATTGTTTCTTTTCATTTCATCCCCTTTGTAATCGTTAACATTTTCATAAGTAACTGAAATTTACTTACACATTTTTTATATTTAGATTGCATAAATGTAGCTCTGACACATAAAAAAATGTTTATTAATACAACTTACTTTACTGCGCTAATCGCGATGAACCAATCACGGTCATGTTATTATCAAATAATTGCTGGAAATTTTCAGGTACATTTTTGGAATGAATATACACGTTTTGTTGTAGGGGAGAGCAGGGTGATTTGAGCCTGCAGGGAAGTTGAGCCACCCCTTGTTTCTAGACAACCTTAAACAAAATCGGTGGTATAACCACACATATTTGAAGATTTAGCATCATTCTGTGATGGAGAGGGGACCATGCAATACTTGGTAACTACATTTAGGTTCAAAAAACTGTTTTTTTGCTGTTTAAAGTGATTTTTGTATGTCCAAGGAAACGTCCTGGGGTAAGTTGAGTCAGTGGCTCACCCCTTGATTATAACGTGATTATAAAGTATTATTTTAAGGTAATTCTACATTATATTTCATTAATTTTACACCAAACATGATTTTGATTTTGTTGTTTGTTTTGAACTTGATTTTGTTCTGTAAATTTTAAATATGTCAGGGTCTGGGATAGAGAGAGGACTCAGATGCAGAGTAGTGAGGAAGGAGGGTCTTTATTCTCGCCACAAAACACAAAATAACATAAACAATAGTTAACTGCTGCTCAAGTGAGCGGAGATTCCAGAGCTGGCCGGCAGACACTGCGGACCACTCGAGCTGCCGGATCTCCGTATTACGAGTCCTTGAGCACAGGAGAACAGAGGGTCAGACACTTATGCTTGCACACACACAAGTCACATAAAGACACGAGCAAGGACAAAACAATCTACTCACGGCGAACGACAGACAGGCAGAGACATATAAGGGAGTGGGGGAATGAGCGACAGGTGGGGAGAGTCAGCTCGTGATCCGCGAACCCCCGCTGCGAGATCAGCGCTGGTTGCCCAGACCACGAGCTACCGAACATGACAGGACAACATAAACCGCAGGGGAAGCCGAGAAGGCACCCTGCACCGTGACAAAATAGGCCTTGTTTATGAAAATTGGCCACTGAAGTTTTTATGAAATTGTATTTCCCTGCAACATTTATAAGTGGGATGCTGAGTGCTATTAGCCCATTTCTGTAAGGTCAGTTGCAGTCTTTTTTTTTAATTCTTCAATTTGAACTTTTTGTTCTGAAATTTTTTCATAATTTAAAAAACGCCTTCAGAATTGTGAACTGTATCTTTAAATAAAACTTTTAAGAAGTCATACATCCATCCATTCTATTATCCAAACCTATACAGCCATGGCCAAAAAGTATTGGCACCCTTGGTAAATATGATCAAAGAAGGCTGTGAAAATTAATCTGCATTGTTAATCCTTTTGATCTTTTATTTAAAAATTTCACAAAATCTAACCTTTCATTGGATAATAAGAATTTAAAATGGGGGGAAATATCATTATGAAATAAATGTTTTTCTCAAATACACGTTGGACACAATTATTGGCACCCCTAGAAATTCTTATGAGTAAAATATCTGGTGAACTGAAGAGGAGAAGCACCAACATGGAGCTGGGAATATGAAGGGTCTGGAGAGATTCTGGATGGAGGAATGGTCTCTGTCAGGTGTTCTCTAAACTCATCAGGCATTATAGGAGAAAATTTAGAGATGTTAAACTGGCAAATGAAGGTTTCAAAAAGTATTGAATAAAAGGGTGCCGTTAATTGTGGCCAATGTGTATTAGAGAAAAACATTTATTACATAATGATATTTCCCCCCATTTTAAATTCTTATTATCCAATGAAAGGTTAGATTTTTGTGATTTTTTTTAATAAAAGATCAAAAGGATTAACAATGCAGATTAATTTTCACAGCCTTCTTTGATCATATTTACTAAGGGTGCCGATATTTTTGGCCATGACTGTATGTCCTTATTAGGGTCGTGGGGAGCTGGAGCCTAACCCAGCCTCTTGAGCCACAGGTGAGGAAACTCTCTGGATGAAAGGCCACATCACAAGGCTCACACATTTTAAGAAGTCATTTTTATTGAATTTCTATTTCTTTGATATAGCATGAAGTGAAAATGTTCAGGTTTACTTCAGCATAATCAGTGGCACAGTTTAACTCCATGTGGCTCAACTTACCCTCTCCCTACTGGAGGTTCAACTCACCCCGCTTTCCCCTACATATGAAATGTCTTTATTCAAAATGTAAGATTTAAATGCGGCTTAAAGCGCCCCCTTGAGGACGACACGTGTGATTCACAAGGTGTACAGTAGGCGGCGATAATACACCACTTCTGTAACGAACCAAAGTGAAACAAAACAGAAGAAGAGTTGGTAGACGCGTTCAAAAAATCATGGCACAAAAGTCTCAGCCAAGAGATGCACAGACAACACCCATTAAAACAGCAGCAAATGCGTGTAGGCTGTGTGATCAGAGTTTAAATCCATCCAGATGTAATAAATACAGACTGTTTCACGGACATAAGCTTGCGAACAAAGCGGATTACACGATCGTGCTGGAGGTATTTGTTAGCAAACTTCAGGACACGACTCTGGCCATCTGCGGCTCATGCAAAACTCTGTTATTGCGGTACGGGCGCGTGTCCAAAGACGCAGAACGAATTAAAATGCTCATTGAGGATATGTGGAAGAAGACCAGAGAGAAACGGTGTACGACTTCAATTCCCACACTAGAAGTGAAGAGACGACGAGAAGTGATGGACACAGCATCATATGATGATGACAAAAACACTGCATTCTCCTCACTACAGTCCACTGACAGCGCTGCTGCTAAGGTGTCCGACAATACTGTACAAGTCGCTGTCAAAATACGTTACTTAGGTATGGAGGATAATACACAGTAAAATGTTGACTATTTCTTGACAAATTCTTGCCAGAGGCCAGATTTATGCAGGCAAACTATATTAAATGAATTAGGATTGTGATATATATAATCTGCTATGTAATAAATTTGTAGTCTAAACATTACTTGCCTACTATGTTTAAAATAGTAAATAAACAGTAGGTATTATAAATGTTTCAGACACTAGTGTGCTGCACTATTGTCATGTGCCCTCATCAGATTGGATATATGAGTGCTGTCTAGTTATCACCGTGGAAATAAATATGGTTATTTAATTTTTGACTCAGTTTCGTGTAAAAATGGCTGTGTTCAGAAAAGCACACTCTGTCATCCTTACAGTTCCTGCGTTTTCTAGTATGTATATGTGAGTCAATATGGGTCATGGGAAGTGGGACCACTGATATATATATATATATATATATATTTTTTTTTTTTTTTTTTTTTAAAAATAAATTTT